TGACCTATACATAATTCTTCACTATGAACCTACAGATAACACCATCTTTTCTGAATGCTTACTGCATGTGTTGCATAACACAGCTTAGTAGTCAGCAGGAACTTCACTGCTCTTCTTCACTGCAGAATCAACTTCTTCCTGCATTTCATCACACAGTACACAAAGCTGATTTAGGAATTTTCACTTATACTACAATAGCAAATACTGACATTAGCTCGACATACCGGCCAATATTTATCCCAAGAAAATGTTAGATTCACTGTAATGTGAACACTCTTCAAAAAACCCTTTTTTTAAACACTACTTTACATATTTTGCAAAAGGAAAACTGCATTATGAAAATTGTGGACTGCATTGAGCTATGTTCTTGCTTCCATCAGTGTGCAAGTCAAACAGAACAAAGTTTGCAATTCCTTTAGCAAGGAAAGACAGAAGCCAACAGCTAATTAGCTTGTTATTGCATGGCATATAGACAGGACAGACTAATTATACACCAGCAAATGGAAGAGCAAAGCTTAATAAAACCTAAATTCTGAATGCTAAAATAAGCTCTAAATTACAGTAACAATATCAAAAATCCAATTAATGTAATTGTACACAAAAAATTCTTATTCTAAGTGACAAGTATGAAAAATGGTTTAACCTACTTTTCAGTCCTAGAACTAATCTACTGCTGATTACAATGACAGCACTAAAGCTCAAAAGTTCCTTTAAAGATTATAACTATCAGTCACTATGCATCCAAATCTTACTTGATAGAAGTAAGTATGGCTAACAGTTAAACCTAATTAAAATGTCAAGCCTCCTGAGTTAGCTCGCAAACTCAGTTACAACACCGGGAATCAGCACGATGGAATCTCAATCTAGCATCACTAATCCAGTGACATGTAAGCGCATGCACATATACACAACGGCTAAGCAAGAGGCAGGCAAAGCAATGTGTTTTGTATAGATATAATAGGAATGACTGGAAAACAATATTATATACAGATTACTTATCAGGGTACATTCCAACATGGCATTAGCAAAACCTGAAAAATGAACATTCATAGTGTATCAGTCTCTTTTGAGGGTATCATTTACCATATTTCATGGAAAACTCTGTTAATGACCAAAACAAGGCCTCTGTGTGCAGCTTACCAATTTTTGTATCATGATACAAAAGACCTACTTTTAGACACTTAGGTGATTGTGGAGAAAGACTGGTGACATTTGACTTCTACACTTACACAAATACACCCTGTCCTTCAATATTCCTTTAGAAGCTCCACTCCCAAAAAGACAAGCAAACTTGTCTTTTTAGATATTTGTGGCCATAAAACCCTTCCCAGATGTTGTACGGGCAAACAGTATGATAATGTTGGACTGAACAACAACATAGCCAGTAATGTCACTAACGTTAGCCAAGTTGTGGGTACCAAACTTAAAATTGCTGCTGCGAAGCTAACCAGTCAGGACTAGCTATCACAAACATTAGCAAACGGGTCAAAACCATAGTGACCTAATGGTTCTGTGAAACAGCAAAAAATAAGTTAATGTTGCCCACCTGTCAAGCAGGAACAGAGCAACCTCCTCATCCCTTTTCATGTCTTTCAACTCTTAATGAAGCCAAAATCAGCTTCTTTTTCGCCAGTTTGAGGCTCCTGAACGTAACTGCTGCACCATTTAGGTGGAACAGGAAAATTCAAACAAGAACCTAGCAAACAGGAAGCCAACTTCAGCCTTATCAACTCTGAGGTCTCTCCACCAATGAAATGCCTCACCAATGTTAACATGGCTCTTGACTGATCTAAGAACTTTTTTTCTCATTCTTTGTGCTTCATTTCATCTCTTTGGCTATTTCTTGGCCATCTCCCATTCTTAACAATGTGTGGAGTTCAATTTCCCCTCCCCTACAACTGCACAGTTCACGAGCACAAATGCTCCTGTTGCTGACTAGTTGACTGACTAATAGTGCTGTGTCTTTCTGTTCAAACCGCTTGTTTCCCATTTACAGTGGCTGTGTATAAACACCAGATTTTTTTTCCCGGCGTGCACACAGAACGGACAGCTAACAGACCATGAGGAGACATTCACTGAATTTGACAAAAAGTGCATCAGACTAACAGTGCTTACTGCACCTTTAAGTGCCTCCATTAACAATTATTCATTTTGAAGCTTAGTGGTTTTTAAAGGATAAAATATCAGATTGATTTTGGTATGGGCATCAGAAAAAAGCGGTATTACGCCATGTGTATTCTATGCTTAACTAACTTGTAGTGTTTTACAGCTGTACAGAATTGAGAAATTTTGCACACAAACACATGGCCTTGGAATAAAAAAAAGTATCAAAGCTGACAGTAACATATATCTAATTACTTACAAGTTAAACTCCAATCATATTGTTAGCATTTATTTACTGACTTAAATAGATTTGAATTGTCTCAAATTACTAAATACACAACCGGTTAAAAGGAAAAGAGCAAATGCATGGCATTCAAAGTGATCCCCAAAAAAGTATTTGGACACTTTAGGGACGTCCTTCAGATTATGTCATTAAAATCTTAGCAAAAAGATGTTTGTCAAAACATCACAGTAATGGCACACTCGTGTGGGGAAAGCCTAGAGAAGTATCCCAACCAGACTGCACTGTAAAGATTTGAAACATACCAGCTATCCATTGAAAATACTATGCCACAAAGAAAATTACGGTTTTTGAAAGATCTGTTTAAATTAAATGCCTCTTGGGTGGACATTCTGTTTCCTATCACCAGGCATTTTCAGTGTAGCACAAATTTCCACTATATATTGTCAGTAACGTTCTTACCTTTAACCGTTTAACCACTTCATCGTTACTGATTTTGTCAGTTATTTCTTTAACGCCGAGCGGGTAGATGATCTTGCCGTCCGCCGCCGGCTTCTGCTGTTGAGGGAACTCCATGCCGCCAAACGTTAATTTTCCAAACAGTCCTCTACCGGCCTCTATGGGTGGGAAAACAAAAGTTCAGCGAGCAAACCAACCGCACTTTTGCAAAAAACACATTTTAAACACAATACAAGCTTTCAAACTATAAGTTTGCATCTCGCAGCTGTTCAATAAACAGGCGGTGAAATCACCACCTACATTTAACACATTTCGGGTTACGCCAAAGAACATTCCCGAGTTAAAACATAGCTGTGAAGCTAATGGGCTAGCTGAATAACTAGCCTGTGTGGGCTAGTTAACAAGGTATGCTCGGCTACCGCATTCACCAGATTATTCAGAATTTGCCCAGTCACTTTAAGCCAATGGTTAATAAACCCCGACAAAAAACAGTTTAATAACGTATCCTCTGAAATAACCGCCAGACCTCTAGCTGATTCATAAGCCGCCGACAATGCAGTAGCTACACGCTAACATTAGCTAGTTAGCTTCCCCATTAAAGAGAAACGGTGGCCTAGCCTTTAGCGCGCTAGGCCTCAAACTACTAGGATCCACTGAACACTGACATTTTTACAAAGCGCTAAAAATCAAAACCATTAGTTGTTATCTGCAAAAAGCCATCTTCATTCACAATTATGGTTTAATACCGCTACATTTCAAAAGTACCTCAACTTTAGCTTACGGAAAACAGCAATTATTTACTTGTTTGCCTATACGAGTCCAACTCAGTGAGGCAGCATCGTTCTTAATGCCGTTGAGTGAAAGAGCACTGCTGCTCATCGCCCTCCCTCACCAACGAAGTTGCCCACAGCGCGGCTCTCAACATCCCATTGAACGCGTTTCTCTCCGCCAAACTACTGCACAAACTGTTTCAACAACACAAGTTCATTCACAACTTGATGAAAATCTCGTCTCGGTAATTACCTCTCAAACAAGCTGATTTAATTCATTGGTCAGGTTCGGGTTATTTGGGGGGTTTTAGTTTCGGCACAAAGCTGCTTGTCTTTCATACAGTGCTGTTTCAGTGTCCTCCTTCCAAAAACTGGACACGCAGCGCCCCCGTCGGTCTAAACGACGCTTCGCAGCACACAGCACAGCGAGAGGGCGGGAGAAAGAAGAAAAGCATCTCCACGAGGAAGAACCACAGTCAACCACCGTCTGAAACGTTTTAGAACGAGTAGAATAGTTTGAACTATCGGCTTAAGTGTTTGTTACTTTCAGTTCTTTGAAGCACAACAAGCGTTTTATAACCTAAAAATGTCATACGACTAGAGGAAGGCATATACCCCCATTTAATGTGACTCCCCAAACACAAAAAACATAAAGGTTAAAAGGGTTTTTAAAAAATATACATAATTAAATCATTAAAATACAAATAGTCATTCAGAGTGGCTTGGTGTAAAGATTCTCCTTCCTACAGAAACTTACCAGTCAGAATTGTTCACAGTTGTGGTGATAGGAACCAGACGTCCGAAGACTTTATGCCTGTAAAAGCTGCTTCACAGCAAGTTATTACATAACATACCTACCAACATACAGCCTAAAACATTGTTTCACGACAGTTTTGAGATAAGATTTTGTTCTAAAATTTGTTTGTTAAAAATCATTAATTGCTGAGGGCTAAATGCGGGGCGGTATAGGGCTGTACCTAAACATATGTTAGGTACTTAAATGGTACCTATGTTATTTTTTTCAGTTTTGCCACTATTTTACCACTATCCGCACTGCAAATAAAACTCACGTAGGAAGACACATTTAGGTTCACTGGTCATTTCGGACAGCAAAAACACAATAAAAAATCATGAACATTGTGTTGTTATAAAGGAATCGTATGTAAATGCGGAGAACTTGGGGACAAATTCAGAATGAACTTCAATAACGTTTGATAAACGAAATACTTGGTTACTATCAGCACAATTTTAAAGAAAATTTGAATCGGAAAGTTTCACATCAAACTACTCGGAATGAAATTGTTTCACTATAACCACAACTTTTCCCTGTGACTTTTCCTTGAGATGTACTTTATTCGCTCTGTCCGGGGTTGTTGTTATTCCATGTCTGACCACTAGCTGTGCTGTTAGATTTCGCCGTGAACGGCTTGTTTGGTGTTTTTCCTTTTGGTAGCTTACCCAAATGCTAACGCTCGCTTGCTCTGTTTCGCTAAAAACGTGTCAGCAGTGGATTCGCCTACAGCTCAGGGACGAACTGCCATCGGTACAATGCCAAAGAAAAAGAAAAACGGCCACAGTGACAGTCCCGGCCGAGTTTCAGCACATTCCGGCGAGTGTGAGGGCCGCCGTCACGGGGGAAACGGAGCCGCTCTAACACGGGCAGCCCCACGGGAGCATCCTGCTAACTCGGGATCCGGACTGGCCACTTCCAGCCAGTCGATGTTTCAAAGCAAAGATGAGATAGCGAGGAACATGCAAGAGATGTTCTCGCACTTGGATCCTGTGGTTATTTACCTTGTGCTTTCTGAGGCCGATTTCAGAGGTAACATTCGGCTCCGCGGTCATGTGTAGCTCCACGATTTGGATTTGGCTAGTTTACAGCTGAACTGCCTAAACAATTCTCACCAGGTTTCATAACACGGAAACAGAAAGTAGGAGTAACAAACATTGAAGTAATCAGACAGTTAGTGTTGACTTGAAATGTCACTTCTTTTTTCATTGAACAGCGACAAAACAGTTCCTTCACAGACATATGTGAGAGCTGTATTTACAATAAGAGTGCTGTTGAACTGGAGGAACTTGTTTTTTAAGAAACTGTGCTGGTTATGGCATATAAATAAGGACCGTACACTGCTTGAAGCTGTAACGTGAAATCGACCCTGGTTACATAATGTTATGTTTATCAAGTTACTTAACTCGAGTGGACAATTCAGCTCCGAAGCCGACAGTTTGACCAAGCAGTTGTAAGTTACATGGCATTTGAGACATCTGCCAAAATGTCTCATCTATTTTAACAGGGATACTGGTAAATGTATTATGGTGAATTAACATTAATTTAAAGGCATTCTCTGGCCCAAATGAAATATTTAACCATCTGTACCGCCTGCTACAACGGTGCTGTAGTAATTTTGACAGTGAGATTTTACGTTTAGAGTTTAGGACAACCCCATACTGGTGACGCATCTTGAAGGTGGGAAGGACTTTTGAAAAAAGGCTGATGGACGGAGCACAAAAAATGATACAAAATCTAAACTGTCAAACTAGTCATGCAGAGAGATACATCGCTGCACTGCAGAATATTACATAACACGGCAAATAACATTTTAAATGCTAGTTTTAAGTGAGAATGCCCCTTTAAAGTATGGCCTGTTGTGTTAAAGTGATTGGTTTTTTTTTGGTTTTTTTTGAAGGCTGTTTTTACAACAGCTCTTTCAGTTTTGTGTCTTTATTAGTCTCTTTCTCTCAAATGCCTGCACATTCTGTCTCATTGCCTCCCTCTCTCTCTCTCACTGTTATAATGTCTCTTGCTCTCAGTGGAGAATGCTATGGATGCTCTTCTGGAACTGTCTGATGCCGCTGAAGGCAAAACCTCAACTACTCCACCACTTTCAGGGTTTGAGATGGCAGCTGCTCTGTTGGACCCACGACCCCCTCAGAACCAGACAGAACCTTCCAAGATGATGTTGGAGGTTTCCGCAGAGTCACTGCAGAAAATCAGCCCGGAAACAACACACCTAACAGAAGAGTTTGATGCTCTTATTGATCATGAACTGCAGACTTTAGCATCACTCCAAAGTCATGCTGGCAACCAACTTCCGCCATCTTCCATTCCTTTCTGTTCTTTACCTCTTCCCTCCCAGTCAATCCCCTCGTCCTCTCTTCCTTCTCAAAACAGTCTTCCTGATCACCAGGCCTTATCGGAGCTTGACCAGTTGGACTTGGAAAGCGATCCCAAAATAGGCTCTTTGAGTGAGCGGAGCTCCAGCTCCACCCCCAGGCATGGTGGTGGGGCAAGAGGAGGTGCTTCACCAGTAAATGATCTTAGCTTTGGAGGTGCATCATGCCCTCAAAAGAGAGACATTTCTGTTGACTTCAGTCACTTGACGGAGAATTCCGACACGAGGCCTTCTGCCTTTAAGGCCTACCGCCGTCCTGATGCGTTTATGAACCATGTGGATATAACAGCACATTCTGAAGGCCTGCACACGCCGGCTATGTTCTGGAATGTACAGGCTCCAGAGTTTCGGCCCCATGCGGAAGAGCCTGTTTTCATCACACCTGTAATGAAAGCACGTAACCCATGGAGGGCACATCCTTTTACCACAGCGCAGTGGCTGGCGCACAGGTCCATCAGTCAAGCTCCTCTTAAGCCCTCAGCCACTGTTCCCAAGTCATGGACCCTTCCCCCTCAGAGTAGGCTTAAACTAGAGGGCCAGGTTTTAGTGCTGCTCAGAGGTGCTCCAGGATCAGGAAAAACCACACTTGCCAAGTAAGCTTGTTTGCATTTTTTTATTGTTTTTTTTTTAAGTAATATGACAATACACAAATATTATTGTGACAAATTACACCTCAGTGTGCTTTTGTGTGAATATCATGGTTAACAGCTGCATGGATCTCATAAAGAACAGTCACAGTCAACAGCCAAAGAGTGCCTGTTAACAACAACCACTATATAGTAACTGTGTAGTAAAGAGATGCCAACTGGATGGCAGTCATTAACTTAATCTATTAATTTACTTAAAGCGAAATTTTGTTTCTTCTCCCAACTCCTCTATTATTTTTACAAATGTTGAATTAAAAAAAAGCAATTAAAGCAAGCAATTAAACTGGTTTTAGTATAATCTAATAAAATACTTTGAGTGAAACATTTGCTTGTTACCATATAAGTTTTATTTTTTTTGGTTGAAGAAGCACACTATTTTTCAAAGTGTAACTTAGCTATGTGTAATAAGTATAATCCTGAATGTCAAATGACTTCTTAAGCCCAGTTGCTGTGTCCTGTGTGTTCATGTGGTAATTAAACTTACAGCTGGCAGTGCCTTATTGCTTTAGTAAAACAGAGATTTAATACAGTATAGTGAAATACACAAGTAATTTAATGTATTGTTAATAAACACAATACATGTAATTCTTTTGACAGTAGGTTATGGGTACGGTGAATGTGCATATTGGAATTTTACACACACACATATATATTGCAACATGTCCTTGTGAAGAAACAATGTTAACATAATGTCATATAATTGTACAGGATAGTGCTATATTATAATACAACTGAATTTTAATAGTGCAAAATTTAAAAGTGTGTAAAGCAAACTCTTCTCATTATTTTGAAGTGCTTTGTTTTAGGTGGGCTGATTATGTCATAACTTGATAGCATATCTGAGGACTGAACCTATGTTAAGCTAATAACAGAGCAACCCCTTCCAGAACATAAATGTTGTTATATACTTTTGAGGTAAATTAATTAATGTGAATTTGCACTGCTGTCATCTTGTATTGTGATTGACATTATGAGCAGATCAAATAGTGGGGAAATGGTACATCTAACACATAAAACTCACGAGTACTCTTATTTTCCTTGTAAATGTGTCTTTTTATTCAAAGTTGTCAGCACTGCCCTACAGAAATCTTTTTTTTTTCATCATCACCACCGAGCAAGCCGTGCTTCTGCTGCTTGTCTTACTGTTTTGTGCCTGTGTGTCCTTGGGTTGCCACATATTTGACACTAGAATCAACATACATTCATAAGATGTTAATTTTTAAACTTTTTCTGCAGCCGCAGAATAAAATCACAGTAACGCACTGCCTTGAGTGGCTTATTGCTTTTATAAAATGGCAACCAACATAAAATATATTAAAATACACAATGTTTTACATAATTATTTAAGTTATTATTAATAATAATTGACACAAGTATTCCATCAAGAAATGTAGCTCCTTTAGAGTAAGGTATCATTGCTAAGCAACCACAGACCGCTGAATGAGGAGAAGAACGTTCGGTCGCCAATCACTGTACTGCAGACATTTCATGATTTTTTTACCCCTTTTTTTGTATAACAGTGAACATATGTAACATAGCACTGTTTAATATAAATACTTTCAGTTTATAAGTACTTTTTGGCCACCAAATTACCACCGCGAGTCTCAAATGGCTCCCTGCTCCCTACATAGTGCTCTACTTAGGAATTGAAATACTGACTCCTGCACCCCAACAATGTAAAATATGTCATTTGGAATTCATCCACATTCATACTCGACAAGCAGTGCACTACCTAGAATTTGTTAGACGCAATCCCATTTCTTCTTTTTACTCCTAGCCCTCGTTTTTGGCCCAATCCCATTTCTTCTTTTTACCCCTACTGTTTTCGAGTGTCAACCTAACCGCTTGGAACTCAGTTACACGGGCTAGTGGTTGAAATCTTGCCCTACGAAATGGGACAAGCCTCAATAAAACATTGCTTCATTAACAGGCTACTAGCGGTGCTCTGTACGCGACCCGGCCCGTCTTCAGTGATAGCAGAGAAGGAAAAAGTTCAGCAACCTCACTGCTGGGCTGTAGTTACATTTAGGGCATCATATGCCTTCAAAGACGGAGTATAAGACAATTACTTATTATCTCGGACTTTGAATTTTCCCGTTCCACTTTAAATGGTGCAGCAGTTACATTCTGGCGCTTCAGGCGTCAATACTGCCGGACTATTTAAGGTGGAACGGGAAAATTAGCTAGCTAGCTACCAAAACATTAGCATGCTATTAGCGATTTTTTATGTTTGTTACGAAGAAAACGACCAGATTACATTGAAACGACATTAAACTAAGATAATACAATGGTTATCGTAATTGTTTAACGGAGAAAATACGTACATTTGTGGGTTTCTTTGGTTGCTCATGCAGCCATCTTGCCAGTTTTTCTTTTTTTTTCGTAACGCTCTGTTTGGAGTGTGCCTCTGAAAAACCTCCATTTGGAGGGCCATGTAGCCCTAACACTTTGCCCTACCCCTCTATCTCAACAAAAATTGGGACACTCTAACCCTAGACGTGAATGCGCAAAACAGAGGGCTAAGGGCTAAGTGTTAGGAGCAAGGGGTGAAATGGGATTGGGCCTACACAGCACACTATTTACACTACTTTTTTGAGCCCCTCATTTTAAACAAAAAGGTGTTCTTGCTTCATCATTGATTGATGGGTTATAATTTTAATAATTTAAATTAATCGTGTTTGTCTATGTGTGTGTGTATGTAAAATCCGAGATCTAATGCTGTAATACCTCTTGTCCTTTGCAGTGCCATGTTAGAACAAAATCCAGGTGGGGTGGTATTAAGCACTGATGAGTACTTCACCCAGAATGGGACATACTGTTATGAGCCAAATTTGCTAGGAGAGGCTCATGCATGGAACCATCGGAGAGGTGAGTACTACACAAGTTAAAAGAAAATGCTCATTTAGTGCTTAATAGGCTTGGTTTTGTTGTTGGTATTTGGTATAGTATGTTATATTTACGATTTTGTATAATTGTGCATTAAACTTAAATTAAATTAACCATTAAAATTCATTTAAGTGGACATAATTTACTGCCATTAATACAGACAGAAAATGTTTCTCAATGATTATAATGTTACTAAACAAAACTGAATCAGCTAGTAGTGTTAATACATAAGAATGTTGGTAAAAACATGTTCAGTAAATTTATGGGATAATGTGATTTGATATCAGAAGTGATAGTGTGTCTCTACCTGGCTGTGCAGCAAGTCTCTCAGCAAGACTCTGATTTTCTTTTAATTACACAGATCTAGCTCATGAAGGATGAAACATAGCAAAATAATAACTAAAAATAAAGAAATAAAATAGAAATAAATAAAAGAGTAGCAAAAAAGTCAAATTAAAGAAATAAATGAAGGACATAAAACTGTAAATAAAATGTTTGATTTATTTATACATTTATGTAATTCTATATTTATGTAATTATTTATTTTTAGATTTCTTCCTTCAGTATGTTAAAATAAAGACTGAACCTAGGTAGTACCACTTAATCATAAAGAAAGCAGTGTGTTCAATTACTCTTGTCTTGTTTTTCAAATGCTGCTAATACAACCCCATTTCCAAATGGGCCCCATTTTCCATTAAAGGAAAGTACTACAAAGACAACATATCAACGGAGAAATTTTATTGTTTTTTGAAAAATATATGCCCATTTTGAATGTGATGCCAACAACACGTTCCAAAAAAGTTGGGATGGGGGCAACAAAAGGCAGGTAAAGTTTTGTAATGCTGAACAAAAAAAACCTGGTGGTTGATTGGCAACAGGTCAGTAACATGATTAGGTATAAAAAAGCATCCTAGAGAGGCTGAGTCTTTCAAAAGTAAAGATAGGGAGGGGCGAGCAAATAGTGCAACAATTCAAGAACACAAAGAACTTTTGCTTTTTATTTACATTTACAGCATTTAGCAGATGCTCTTATCCAGAGCGACTTACAAAAGGTGCTTTGTCTATCCAGAGAAAGTATCTTTGCTAGCTACCAATAGGTTAGAGAGAAAGCCAGTCCTGAGCTCAGATACTGCTAGAATCAGAAAGTCATTATTGACACCTAGAGAAAAAGAAACCAAGTTAAACACAGAGCAGTGCAATACAATACAATACATAAGTGCAGTACAATACATTACAATCAGTACTTAATTCAGTGCTCATTTAAGTGCTGTATAAAGAGATGTGTCTTCAGTCTGCATTTGAAGACAGCGAGAGACTCTGCTGTACGGACAGCCAGTGGGAGTTCGTTCCACCACCTGGGTGCCAGCACAGAGAACAGTCTTGACGCTTGCCAGCTCACCACCTGAAGCTCAATTAACCACCAGGTGTTTTGCATTACACAACTTTACCTGCCTTTTGTTGCCCTTTGTCATCCCAACATTTTTGGAACGTGTTGCTGGCATCAAATTCAAAATGGACATATATTTTTCAAAAAACATTTCTCAGTTTCAAGTTTTGATATGTTGTCTTTGTATTACTTCGAATTAAATATAGGGTTTAAATAATTTGCACATTATTGCGTTTTGTTTTTATTTACATTTTGCACAGCGTCCCATTTTTTTTGGAAATTTGGGTGTAATTTATTTTTGGTTGTTTATGTATTATTTTATATATTATTTTTATCATATCAACTACCCTCTTCTAAGTAGCAAACCGTGCATAATTATGATGTGCAAAAGTGTGAAATGAATAATTGGAAGTAAGGCTGATAGAAAAACAATCAGCATTCCCTGAATAGCTTTTTCTATGTAGACATCCAAAAGAAAAAAAAATGAATAAAAAAAGTACTTTTGAGCTGTGCTCGTAACCTGAATACAATAATAATATCTTTAACACTTATTTTCAACTTTATTTTCAGCAAAAGAGGCTTTTGAGAAAGGCTTCACCCCTATAATTATTGACAACACCAACATGCAGTGTTGGGAGATGAAGCCCTATGTTGCCCTGGTAAGCCATTATAACCAAAATAAGGACCCTTTCACTCTACACAGTCAGTAGATTCTTCTGCTTGCAACACTTTTTTGCACTGCCGGGCTTGTCTGTGTTGTAGAATGACATTAATTCAGTGACACCTTTGCATACTATTGAGCAGTGTTCTATTGCAAGCAAGATCCCAGTTACAGGTCACTGTGGCAGGTTACTTGACAACAAGTGCTTATAAATTCTCTGTTACATTATAGATACATTTATAAATTGTCCTATACTGTGCACAGTGCCTTATCAATCATCGGTAAAAAAGAGCTGTACCATGAAACAGAGATGGGTGAGCTTCATTTTGCAAAAAGTATTCTGAGTGCTTTGGCAGAGACACCAATATTTCACTGTTAAAAGTGCATTTATTATGTAATCAATGAATACTTTCTAAATGTAAGATGTTATTCTGTAGTACTAACTAGTAACAAGGTTATCTTTGCTTAGGTTTACAAGAGGACAAGGCTAAAGTTGTTTTCCTATTTGCCAGCTTGTTTAAATTTTCCCATTCCACTTTAAATAGTGGCAGCATTCTGGACTCGCACGTCTTCATAGAACTGTGATAGAATCATTTTCCAGTAGTGACAGAGCTCCTCATAATATGTCATAACATCACCTGCATTAGTGGAGCATCCACGACAGGCAAAACGAAACTGCGAGAAGTATGCGAGCTTGTGAGCCCTTGAGAATTTTGTGTTGCAAGAAGTGTGCTGAGTGCTTTACTATGTAAAATGTTGGGGCAAATCATGAAAACTTTCAACAACACGATATTTAACTATTTATGTGAATATGTTGTAATTTAACATTTGCCTGGTTTCATAGGCTTTGAGGTCATTTGTAGTGCCCTCCATAATTATTGGTACCCTTGGTAAATGTGATCCAAAAAGCCCATGGCAAAATGTCTTCTTTGTCAAAGTTTATTTATATAAACTAAATTATTTATATCAATTAAAAAGCAACACAAACACTTGTCACAATTATGGGTACATCTGCATATACACTCTTGAAACGTGTTAAAAAACAATACATTCTCTCTCTAACAAGTAGGAGACGACACATTTATTTGTTACTTTTAACACAAAAGTGGCAAGGGGAGCCAGACTGATGTAAAACCTCCTGCTTTTTGATGCAGTCCATGATACCATTTAGCCTAACAAGATTCTCAAGGAATTGGAATTTGGAAGTAAAAAGCCACACAACACAGATCAACCACCACTCTTAAAAGTAGAAATTTGGTTCTTTTTTGCATGGCTGTAGCTACTTTACGCCAAACCCACCTCTGTTGTTTGTCTCCAGAAAACTCTATTTTGGTCTTGTTTCACTGCTGAACTAGTAGTTTGTACCAAAATTCTAGTGATAGATTCCAGTGTAGCAGTCGTTTGTGGTTTGATCAGAGCAGATGGTTTCTTCTAGCAGGCCTTCCAGATAATTAGATGCCACTTTAATAGAAACAAACTGTTGACTTCAGGATGCAGCCAATCCTGTAATTGTCTCTGTGTATTTTTGCTTCCTCAAATGTTTGCTTTTATTTGGTTGAATGGAAATTCCACAATTTAAAAAAAATTAAAAATCTGCTTACTTCGGTTACTGACACTTAAACACTTATTCAGTGTGGTTAGATGTAAACAGGGAAACTGTTTAGTATCCTTCATAGCCTAGTTTCTTTGCAGTGGTGTTGACAGGAACCAGGGCTTGCAAAAATAGCCAATTAAAATTACTATTCAAACTGACCAGTGAAGCTACACGTCTTCTGATTTTTTTTATATGTAATGTTCCTAATGGTAAAATAGTGGCAAATCTGAAAAAAAATTCTTTGGGTACTACTTTGAATTACAACACCTTGCATATACCTCTCAGCTGTAAATGGATTTTAAAGAATATATTTTAGACCCAAGTATTTTCTCAAAACTGTTATAAAACACTGTCTCAGGCAGCAGGAGACGTATTCGTAACTATTAATGTAATGTAACTTGCAGGGACATTAAATGTTTCTGACGCCTGGTTCCTTTCACCACCACTATGAACGATTGTGAAACATTTCTCTAGAGTTCTGTAGAATTTTGCATTTCAAGGACTTAATGATACAAAAAAAAATTGAAAAGCAATGGAATATTAATGCCCACAGTGTTGTGATACTGTTCATTATGTAACACTAGAAAATGTTTGCATATAACTATTTAAGCAATAGAACACGAGAGGGAGTGTGTTATCGCGAAATAACATCATGGCTGTGATTTGGTCGCAGATCATCACAGCTGTGAAGTTATACCAATAACACACAACCTTGAGTGTTTTATTGCTTTTATACAACAGTTAAGTAAATAAGTAAGAAACAAGTAAATTGGACCATGAACGTGGCATTTAATATGTTTAATGTTAGCAATTCCTTCCTCCAAATTATAGTTCCTTAACAAGCAGCTTGTTGCTACTTCAGAGTAACGAGCTCCGCTAACTCGCTGCAGAGCCGGCAGTTTGCTCTCCAGCTCCTTAGACAGACCAACTGACAGTTTTGGAATTTAGTGTAGTCTCATCTTATTTTTATTAAGTTTTAAGTATCTAAAATTTTTAAGACATGTTTTCCCAAATACTAAGACAGTGTTTTCCACCATCACAAAAAAGAAACAGATTTCTTGTATTGCTGCAAGTCAACTGAGATTTCCTGGACATCATTCTTGACACCATTTGGAACAAAATGAAAGGCAATGCTAGTAAATTTTCAGATATATTTTTATACATGGCATGAAGCATTTAATGAGGTTTTAATATATCCATGCTTTTAACCACAACATTCTAAAGTGAAAGGGCCCTAATATCGTGTGTTTTTTAATTAAGCAGGAAAAACATTTAGATTTTTATAAAAGCACACAAAGCATGATCAGTTCAATATCGGTCCCTTCAATTACAGCATCTGAATAATATTCTGCAACTCTTTTTATAAATCAGTTCAGCCAGATACACACACTCAACCGCACTGACCTTTGGTCCACCTTTTTTTTTTTCAGGCACTGAAGCACAAGTATAGAGTGTTGTTCCGTGAGCCAGACACCTGGTGGAAAACTAAACCCAGAGAGCTGGAGAAGTATGGCAGATACAATCACACAAAAAATGCTAATTTAACAGATGCCACCACAAACGGCACAATTACACAATTGTAATAATCATAAAAAACTCAACCACAAAATTAGGTAAACAGATACACCTGCAAAATAAAGTCTCTGGCAAGTATGTTGTCAACTATATTTACTAGTGTTCAAAAGTTTGGAATTTAAGCATTTAAAAGCTTGTAATCAGTGTTTTCAATAAAGTAAAACCAAGATTGTTTCAGGTAAATGTATAAAATGATTCTATCCCTGTGCAACTTCACGAGTTCATACAATTACAAATAATGATATAAATATTTATTAAGTAATGAAGAGGCTGAAAAACAAAAAGAAGCAATTTTGGATGTGACTATAATGATGTAAAGAGCTGAGGTTGATTCTAAAATGACTGCAGGTTATTAATATCCCTAATGTCTGTATTTAAAAAATGGCAGTCATCTCTCCAGGCAGAATACCTGGGAAAATAATCGATAAAATTATTGTAACGGTATTGTTTATCCTTGAATAACTTCTTGTTGTTGCCAAAATACTTCAAATATTGAATATAACATCCGAAAGTACCTTTTGTTGTCTAATTTAAAGTATTTAAATCTACATTTGTATCTTCAAGTTGTTATTGTATATAACATATCAATAATGATTTACATAAAAGATGATTACAAACTTTTTTTTTAATCAACTGAATTTCAGCCCTACCATTTTTATTGGTTTGATTTAAATTTGACTCCTGCTTCTTATAGTCATCCATTTTTTTGCAGCAGCACATTTTAACTAAATCTTTGCCTCCCTCTTGAAGCTCTGTAGTCAGTTACTTAGTCCAGTCGCATTTTGATTTCCAAACAGCATGCAAAATTGTAGCGCTTCAGTCTGAAATTGTTTTTTTGTGATATTAAACTGGTCCAAGAGTGGAGGCTGCACAGTTCCGATATGGCTTAAATTACACATTCAGTACATACAAGTACTTTAAGAAAATATATTTTTAAGAAAATATTAAAATGCAAATAACACACCTTACGAATTAAAAAAATACTATTACTGTTTTTACAATACTACATTAACATCTTTACGTGCAAACCTAATTTGTATGTAGATTTTCTTGCACACTTGAGCAAATTATGTAAGTTATCAAATATTAAATCTTATAAGTTGCATCTTTCCATTTAATGTTCGCCACATTAATTCTAATCTTTTGTAGTCTGTTTATATCGTGCTTAACTATTTTCATAGCTTTATTCAGGAACATGATGCACTTTTTGAGTATGTAACTTACAAATTCGATGTTTTATAGCTTTTTAAGTTCAGGATGAGTTATAGAAAGACTATTTTGGTGGACTGTTGTTTCAAGAATGCATAAGCAAGTCAACAAAAAACTGAAATCAGCCACAAACTGTACATGAGCAATTTTAAGTGAAAACCAAAAAATTAAACAAGGCCCACGTAAGAGCCTTTAAAGTTTATGATGTGATTATGAAACTAATTCTGTCTTTCTAGACGTACTAAACATGGAGTAACAAGGGAGAAGATTCGACGTATGCTGGAACACCAAGACCGTTATGTATCTGTTCAGAATATTATGGCTTCAGAGCCCAAATCCACAGCGGTGTTTGGTGTGGATATGGATGTATCACAAACAAACCCAACACAGTAAGTGCATTCACATATATAATACATGAAGTATTTGTAATGTAGTAATATTGTACATATGCAGTGAAGTCTGTATGAATTTTGTCACTTTAACTGAATAATTTGACTATTGTACAAACTAAACGAAAATAACATCCCTTTTATGCGTAGTTCCCCATTGCAGAGTATACTAAGTATCTAGACAATTGCTTGCTCAGATCCTGTCAGGAAAAATCTATTCACAGTAATGACATAAATACAACAGTAAGTGGTGAAAGGTTGAACTGGGTTTTGGGGGGGGCGCTAAATCTGGTAAATTTGTGATGGTCCCGTAAAGTGGACATGGAAACAACCACAGAGATAACGTACAAGTTGATGCTTAATCTTTATGAAATAGAAAAACGTAATAACAGTGCAGTTAAGTAAATGTTGTTGTTGTAGTGGCCATCTTTAATTTGACCACAAAAACTTAATCTAGTAAGAAAAATTAACCTACTAAGGAAAAACAGAATTAGCTTAGCTTAACCTTGTTCCTTATCCTGTGAAGCCATTTCACTTAAGACCATTTGAAATGGCACATAGCACTTAATGTGTGACACATGATTTTGCATGTGTTTTTCTGAAATCTGAAGTCATTTTTTCAGTTGGCTGAAACCTGATGCTGTGATCTGAAGAATGACCTAAAATGTACAACATAGGTAGCTTTTTATGCAGGCATGATGTCTGCTTGCAGCAACAAGCAGGTTTAACCAGAGCAGTTGCATTTTTAGATTATTCTCATCTTTGCTAGACACAGTAAAAATTGATTGATTTAGAATATTGCATCACTCGACAGGTTTAAACGTTCTGTTCTTGTTTGTTCTTGTGTAGGAACACTAGTGTCTTGCTGTGGTTTGCATGAATTAAATCAGTAAAGGAATGATTTGTTTTCAAACCAACGGTAAACAATTTTTCACTGCAGCTGTGGTACCTGGGCCTGTTACTGTGGTAACTAGGTCCTAGGCCTGTGCCCAGTGACGGTTACCAAGCACAGGCCTAGGACCTAGTTACCACAGCAAGACACTAGTGTTCCTACACAAGAACAAACAAGAACAGAACGTTTAAACCTGTCGAGTGATGCAATATTCTAAATCAATCAATTTTTACTGTGTCTAGCAAAGATGAGAATAATCTAAAAATGCAACTGCTCTGGTTAAACCTGCTTGTTGCTGCAAGCAGACATCATGCCTGCATAAAAAGCTACCTATGTTGTACATTTTAGGTCATTCTTCAGATCACAGCATCAGGTTTCAGCCAACTGAAAAAATGACTTCAGATTTCTGCTGTTGTCTCTTAAATGAGGACCAAAGAAGTTTCTTTCTCACTATGTTGAAAAATGCCAATCAAATAGGTCATGATAAGGATGAAAAATCTGAACAAATCAATCAGAGACATTACCAAAACTTTCTGTGTCAAAATCCTAAGGTTTTTATTTATTTACATTGTTAAGAAACAAGATCCAGTCGTGGTAGCACTTAATCTGGCAGACAACAGAGGGTTAACCACAATATGCCAAACAGTGGTAAACCTCACAAACAGAAAGCCAGGTTATAGTCCTGGGACAATGTTTTGTGGACATATAACATGAAGATTACTTGCAATAGAAAGAGGAAAGTGTGAAGGCATGGTCATGTCAAACTGCCAGTTCACTTTCCTTTACTGGCTCACTTACCTTTACTGACAATATGACTGCCAACTTTAGCTCCATTTCACTTGCTGAAAACTACAAGGAGAAGTATCAACAGGGAAGCTAAATATTATGAATCAAAGACTTTAGGCAGCTGTAAGCTGTAACAAAGTACTAAATAGGACAACTAATATTAAAAAAAAATAAAATATATATATATATATATATATATATATATATATATTTATATATATCTTTTTTTTTATAAGTGTCAAATTGCTTAATTGTCTCTTAAATGTGGCAATAATGTATAGAAAATGACGCTGACTTGCTACATAGTTTGCCAAATATAGATGTAAATACCTTCAAAATTAAAAACCTGACATTCTGCAATTTAACTTCATTGTTAGATCTGCTGGAGAACACAGTCAAAACAACAGAATATTTGTCACTTTTCAATAACTTACAGACCACACTGTGTTTCTTTTTCTCTGCCTTCCTTGACCATTTATTCACTCTTTCTCATTTCGTCTTGTAGGCAATCATTACCACTTGTCCTAAGCCGTCCTGACCTTGTGGGTGACTTTGGGTTTGGTAAACCTGGTGGCCACCTGTCTTCCTCTCTACCTGATGTCTCTTCAGTTGGTCAAAAATATAGCCATAACTCAGCAAGAATGGATGCAGCAGCAGGTGAGATTATGTCACACAGTTCCAAAGACTCTGTGTCCTCCCAGGAGAATGTTGTGGGACTAATTGGAACGTTAGAATCTGAGCTGCTAGATGGAGTGGACTTGGACAGGGAACTGGATGCCTATATTCCACTTTCTGAGAACACTGACCACAACATAAATGAAGACCCTGACGTGTTTGAAGAGAAGGTTCTGGAACAACCAGTGCCATTTTCAGAGTCAATTGGTCAGCGGATAAGGAGAGTGAGAGAGCGTAGGAGATTTGCAGATGGAGTTGACTCCAGTCAGAAATTTGAACTTGACGACCGCACTGTAGAGAAAGCTAGTCAGGAGGAAGGTGCTGAGGAGAATGATTCTGTTGGATTGAAACCGCAGCTGCAAAACATTGTGGGAGATTGGCCGTCTGAAAGCCTTGAAAAGCGTGGGCAACGAAGTCGGATGTCAGCCACTTGGACATCGAAACACCCAGATGAGCTAACATCAAGCATTGTAGAAGATAGCAGTGTCCCTGATAATAGATTGGTAGAGCATTCTGATTGTGATAGCAAAAATAAAACAGAGTTCCAGAAGCTTATAACTCTTCTTCAAGGAGATGACAGCCACCTTTCCCAAGAAGCATCTTTGGATAGGGACGAGCAGAACTCAGGCTTAGGGACTGAGGGGGAGATGGTACACCCTGATTGTGTTTTTGAGTGGCAGTTTGGAAGATCTACTGATCCAGGAAAAGAAAACTCTCAACTTCAAAACCCAGCCAAAGGACTAGTATTAGAACAGGACGATTACAAAAGATGTACAAAGAAAGCAGGCACAGAGATAGAAACTACAGCAAATGGTGGGACGAGTGTGGAGACAGTGGATTCAGAGGTGATCGATAAGCCCTGCCTGACCCCCGACACAGCTCTAACTTCGGGAGGTGAGGCAGATCCTAACGCTGAAGTCAGCCAAGAGAAACGGAAAGGGCTTAGTCGCAGAGCAGGAAAGTCATGCAGACTGGCACTTACTTTTACCAATCAAAGCCCATCTTTAGCCTGCCTACAATCAGGGTCTCCAGATGTTTCACCACAGCTACCAGACCTGATGCCTTCACCTCAGCCAGAACTACATTTAACAGCAAGCCTCTGTGCCTCAGTGCAATCAGACCCGCAGGACTTTTCCCTGCTGTGGAGAATTAGTCAGCAGAAATGTTTTGCGGCAGAGTCAGACAGCTCTACCAGGGGCGTAGTTATTTTGGAGGGAAACCCTCTGCGTTTTATCCCTAAAACAAATAAAGAGACATCCTCCGGTCAGCAGCAGGGGGTGCCATACCGTGTTTGTCATGAGAAAGGGTCACAGGTGGAAGAGAGTGACCTGACACAATTACCTTTAAAACAGCACAGTCTGGAGATACTTGGACATCATTTTAAGCACATCCCCATTGAGACCTTGGAGGACCTGTATGAAAAGTGTAATCAAGACATGGACTGGGCTACCAACTTGCTTCTGGATTCAGGCGAACAGCTTTATAGGGAGGATGATGAGGTTGCTGAAAATGATTTAAGTCAGGTTCCTAAAGAAGAACCTTGTTATTCTCAGGTGCCTTCTCATTTTTATTTGCCTGAGGCGAAGATGGAGTCCAGGGTGAATGTGATGGAACAGTCAAGCAGTGAGTGCTCTGATCCACAGAGTATAGTTTCCAGGAATCAGTGATGACTGCAGTTCAGCTGTGAGCACTGATGCTGGGGAACCTGGGGACAGTGTAGGACTCAATCAAAGTGAACTAGTCCAGGCTTCAGATGATGGTGATCAAAAGAAACATTTAGAGCAACAACTTGAGCCAGATCATGGTGGTACAGTTGGAGGACCTGTGTGTATGTCTGCACCATCCAATGTTACAGACACAAACCAGCCTGGAGGACAGCCCAGAACACAGCAGGATCCAACAGTATCTAATTCCACAGAGTCAGAGACAGAAAGCCAACAGGCCCCACTACAGAAACTGACATCAGTCTCACAGAGAGAGATGTTTGACCAGTATTTTGATGAAGGGTGGATTGAAGAAGAAGTAAAACAACAGAGGGAAGAGGAAGATGGGGAGACAAAAGAAGTAGATGTCATATCTCAGTCATTCTTGGCTCAGCTTGAAGATACTGAAAGCAAGGAGGAGGAAGAGAGGAAAGAAAGAAGAGGTCAAGGGAAAAATGGACCTATGGACATTAAGATGCTGGAGCTGAAACTACCAACAGAACTTGCTCTGCAGCTGACTGAGCTGTTTGGACCTGTAGGGATCTCTCCAGGTAAGAAGTCTAAACTGGAGCCCAAACAATATTAATACTAAACCAGTTCTAGATGCTTCTAGAGCCAGTGTCCAGTTTCAGGTCCAGTACTTTATTTACTGGTAGTTAATTAAACTGTTGATATTACTGATTAGCTACCTAGCCACCTGATGTTGCAGTGACTGCAAAATCCAGGAATGAAAACTGAATTCATGGTCTGGTTTTGAAGACCTCTGTTCTAGAGGTTCTTTAAGTGGCATCAAATTTGGTACTGAAGAGAAATTATAGTCTTTAACATGCATTGTATATAGTATATAGTGTATTTTTTTAAAACAATATATGCCTGTGCATACATAAGTACAATGCCCTAGGGAATTATTGGCCCCTTTGTTAAAGATGAAGGGGGAAAAACAGGTTATGCGGAAAATGTTTTTGTTGTTCATCAGCTTTATCTCAGAATTAAGATATTAGATGGAAGATATTATAACTGCATTGATATGGACTTACAGATTATGCTGTGTAAATTCTGAAAACAAGACAGAAAGCTTAAATGAACAGAAAAAATAAAAGATGAAGAGCGTCAAACAGGATAACTCTTCGAACAAAATAGTGTTTAATTTTGAACCCTGTTTGTCTTTCTTATCTGTGGCTACAGGTGAGTTTTCCCCAGAAGACTGCTCAGTGCTTATGGACCTTAACTTGGCCAAACTGCTGCATCAGAAATGGAAAGAAACCATCCAGGTGGATTAATACTTGCTTTAAGTTTGCTTTAATGTCTTCTGGTTTATAATGTACAAGTCCAAGAATTTAGGAGAGTAAAGCAGTTACATTCAAGTTTTTAGTCAATCTTAAAAAATCTTAAAAGGAAATCTAGAAGTATTACTTTATCATTGAAATACAGAAGTGTTACTTCATATGAAAAAAATTCTGTAAAGAACTATGATATATGCATTATATTTTTTAAAGGAGAGGCATAGACAAGCAGCTCTGTCATACCATTTACTGCAAGAGAGTAAGTATACACATATACCAGAATTTCTGGACAGGCATGTTCCTTTCTTTGTAATTTTTTGTTGCTCCTTTTACTAAGCAAATGCTGCAGGATATTAAATGTATGCTTTTCTTTGCCTTTTACCCCTTATTATTGGTCTCCATGGTTACCCAGGTTCTGTCCACTGGGGTGAATCAGAGCCAGCCATGATTGGGCAGAGAGACTCAGCTGCTCAGTTTCTGATTGGTACAGATGGCTGTTCATCACTTAGCAGCCAATCAGGCATTCAAGAAGGTTTTCCATTTATGGACCACTGGAATGTGTCCCGTCCACCAGTGTCTCTCAGGAATATCATGATTGAGGAGCAGGTGATGCAAGACAGCTTGGAGAAGGTAACCTACACAATCACATCAACCTAGCCACTAAACACATAAAATGTAAAATATTTTTGGTGGTAATTTGACTTTACTGCCATGTAACTGTTCTGAACCATAGCTACAACTGTCAGAGGGGGTGTGTTTGTGTGTATAGTCCAGACTGAGTCGTTGGGATTTGGACAAGAAGGATGGAGCAGCCGTACTGAAGGAGAAGCAACTCTTCACTCTTTTTCCCACTATTGATAGGCACTTCCTGAGAGATATCTTCAGAGACCACAAGTAAGAGAAGGAGAGAGGGCAAATTGTTGCATATGATTTTGCCTTGAAATAATAATTGTAGACATAATAGGTAGGATTGTTTCAATACACTTTTTTCTGTTTTTCTGTTGGTTGTCAAGGGATAGTGCATACAATGTAGACCAGTGCCAGTATTTCGATAATAAAGGATACCACGATCTTCAGCACATTAATTTTGCTTTGGTGGACACTTCAAAATACCGAGTAGCTTCTTGTGAACCTTAAACAATTGGTTTTCTGGGTGCCTTCTTTACATCTTCTTTTGTGCAGACCTAACAAACTTTTTTCTTTAGTTCAGTCCGTTTTGACAGGTGTGAATACTCTATCCATACTCGGCTGTGTACAAAACAATTAAACAAATAAATTTATATATTTATACCACATTTATATTTACTCTAACAGTAATTCATATTAAAGTAGTGAAATAAAAACATTAGTAATTAACTCAAGTAAAAGAACTATGATTTAATTCTACTCAAATAATGTTGCTTTCCACCTCTGAGTGTAAGCTTGTCAGAATATGTGTTACTGAAACATACGAGAATACGTCTTACCATGTTTATGTACAGTTACTCTCTGGAGCAGACAGAGCAGTTTCTGCACACACTATTGGATGATGAACCTGTCAGAAATGTAGTGGCTACCGAAGCTGTCCCTGAACATAACGAGACGCATAGAGCACCAAGTAAAGAGAGGGTGAGAACACACTTGTGTATATATACACACACACACACACACACACACACATTGTTTTCAATGAAGCAACAACTGAAAGTTCTGCAGTCTCTAGCAGCATTGGCACAGCGTACCACAGCGGTCAGCAGAGAGTTCTGTCGTGTTAAACTTTTGCTGTCAATTTGAGTCTATGTGTGTGCATTGAAATAAACTGGGATGTTTTTTAGAGACACCCAGCGTCTCATGGTTGAAACCCACCTAGTATTATTAAATTTGAAGTACACTGTCACTGTGGCAACATTTTCATGACTGCATGATGCCATCTCAACATGTAAACACGAGAGAAATTATTCTGCTAAATGCATGACTATATATTTTCCTTGTGTGTTCAGTTATATCTGAGAACGGAAGATCCTAAACTATGTAGGGCTACGGAGAATCCAGTGCTTTACTAAAGCATTAGAATACAAGAAGGGAGTTTTGTATATTGTTGTATATTGTTTATATACAAAGGTTATACAAAGAAGAGAAAAAACTAAAGCAAAGAAGCCTCAAACATTGTTTCAAATATGTTTGTTTTTTTTAATACTGGCAGTTTTTTCTGCCAGAAAAGTAGTTCCAAAGTTGGCTTTGGAACAACACATGAATCACCAGTAGGTTTGGAATCCGTCCTACTCATGTGGCATGACCTTCTTCCAAAAACGACCAAAGGTCAGGCCTTCAAATGTCAAATGTTATATATTTGAATACATCCATTTTTCTATTTTTAGATTTGTTGGATATGGTTAATAGTTAACAGCAGCACATTAAACAATTATTGTCCTAACTAAAGAGAATAGTGAAAAACCTAACAAACACACTGTTATCAGATATAACAACAAAACTAGAACACTTTTAAACCCAAGCAAAATGTGTCATCAGAGCTGTTCTGTAATGATTCGTGTCACATCCAGGAAGACAATGAAATAGATTAGTTCTTGTTGTGTGTTCTCAGAAGCAGAAGCAAAAGAATGCAGAGCCAAAAGTAGCACAGTTCCAGGATACAGAAGATCCAGAGTATGAAGACTTCCGTACAGAAGCCATGCTTCAGAGACGACGGCAGCAGGAATGTTTCACTAAGGCTGCTGAAGCCTACAGACAGGGACAGAAAGATGTGGCTAGCTTCTATGCACAACAGGTCTTACATACTCTGTACTGATATACTGACACACAAATGTAAATAAGGATCTTAAATGAGACATTTTAAATTCTGTGTGTGTGTCTAGGGACACTTACATGGCAAGAAGATGAGGGAGGCGAATCATCGTGCAGCAGTGCAAATATTCAAACGTGTGAACGCTACACTTCTGCCACAGAATGTTCTGGATCTCCATGGTCTACATGTCGATGAAGCCCTGCACCACCTGCAACAGGTCCTTGCTGATAAAACCTATGGTGAGTGGAACACATCACACAATAACAGAAGTGGAGATGGTTTTCATGCATGTAAAATGGTAAATGGAAAGCTGGTAATTTTACAGTGTTCATTATAAAACCGATCTGATTGGCTTAATGTGCAAAGTTGTTATGTTGCTTGGCAGCAGTAGCCTACTGTTAAGGCATGGTTCTGCAAAAAATCAAACGTATATAATCTTCCACCCCAGATATAGTCAATAAAGCAATAAACCTGGAGAGCTATGTGTTTAAGTGATTATTCCATGGTTACAGGATGTTGTTAGGCACAACGATTTGGATTTATTATTGATAATAATCACAATAAACAATTCTTATGCAAGGAAATAAAGCTTTTTAAAGGAAGAGTTTGGTGAAAAATCTGGTTTGCAGAGTTTTTCAAATAGATATAGTCCAGATGTAATCGATTAATCATGTTTATCAATTTTGCCTCCTAAGTTTAGCACTAGAGCTATGAAGCTAATGTTGCTAACACTTTTAGCCTATCACCCAAAACTTTTTATACATACCCAAAACTTTTCTTAATCCACTCAAACTGCCTACAGGTCTTCATTAAGATTACACATACTTGTCAGTGTGAATTGGAGCAGTGTTTCTCAACCCTGGTCCTGGAGGCCCACTGCCCTGCACATTTTAGTGTCTTTTCTGCTTTAACACAGCCACTTTAACTCAATAGTGGGCTGTTAATGAGCTGATTACTTGGATCAGGTGTATTGGGAGCAGGGAAAACCCTAAAAGTATAGGGCAGTGGGCCTCCTGGACCAGGGTTGAGAAACCTTTTTTTTCAGAACACAGTATGACTAACTGTGAGCTATAAAAATGAACAAAACTTCACTGCATAGCTGAACGATGTCATGCTGAATTCCGAATCTGACTCCCTTTCCTATGCATGCACATCACACAGATTACATTCGCGATTTCTACATCTTCATTGCAAAAAAATCTTAATTAACATTTATTTACAAATAGAATTGTCCACCGTGTTCAGCTACAAAGTGTTGTTTTGTTCGTTTTGTGCACAACCTTAATGAAGATCTGGATGTGGTTTAAAGCAGGTGAGAGAGGTTTTGAGCATAGACAGAAAAGATTTTGGTGACTGCTGACTTATAGTGTTTGCTAGTAATATTAGCCTCTTGGCTCCAGGCTTAAAGTAAGAAGCAAAATTTAGACACCAAACATGTTTTGGCTGATTGACTGCATCTGGGGTAAGTGGGAAAACTGTGTAAATGAGATTTTTCATCAAACTATTTCTTTAACAATTTTAATTCGTTGGTAGAAGAAATGTTTGTGTTTTTTGTGTGAAAATTGTTTTTTCTGGGACAGTGGAGTTTTGTAGTTTGTGATTAGTTTTGTAGTTTTGTTGTTCATGTGTTAGTGAGTGTGTGTGCTGATTTTATCAGCACTTTGAGCTGTGATCACGTATAACAGACTTCCTGTTTCCTGTTAGAATGGCAGCAGGGTTTGTGCCGTCCACAGCTGGCAGTCATCACAGGAAGAGGAAATCACAGCCAAGGGGGCGTTGCTCGTGTCAGGCCTGCTGTTTTGGACTACCTCAAGAGCCAACATTATAGGTACACAGAGATATACCTACACATACCAAAGCTGTACGAATTTAAAGTGATGGTTCAAAATTACACAGTTTCCGCTTACCCCAAATGTAATCGATCAGCTAAGACACACTGTTTGCTTCTTTGGTTTTGCATTGAAGCAATGAGGATAATGTACTAATGTAGCAAACAAGTAATGGAAGCGTATAGCCAAACAGAATGCCTAAATCATAACACACTAGCTTCAAATCACACTGACTTGTAATGTAAGTTTCTCTAATTATGCTTTGACTGTTTGAGAAAAGATTTTGGTCTTCATTGGGTTTTTAGAACAAATTCAGGCTGAAGAGATACATTATTTATATTCTATTTATATAGTATTTATTTTATACTGTATTTGTAACTTATACTTTATTTATACCTTATGACTTATTTACCATTATTATTATTAACTCTTACTTATAAAACTCCGAACAACGTGTGGGTTCTCTGGTCGTTTGAAAATAGTAAATAAAATGTCAACATTTATCGGTTAAATTCTACCTTAACAACTTCATCAGTCCTGTCTTTGTGGTCTTCAACATTTGGGGTATGAGTAAAATTAAGCCAAGTTAGAAAGACGCAAACGGCTCATGTCTCCCTCTCTCGCTCTCAGGTACTCAGAGCCTAAGCCTGGTTTGATCCTTGTCACATTGCATTGAGCTGACCAACAAGCTGCTGTTTTGAAGCAACATATGTCTATTTCTTTCCCTCTTCCTGTTACACAATCTCCTCTCTTATTTTACTGTATTACCACTTTCCTGTTGCCCACCAGTGTCTCTCTCTCTCTCTCTCTCTCTCTCTCTCTCGTATCATATCTCGTACGTATATATCACATTCTTCCGTCTGTAAACATTGTGTAGATAGTGACAGTGTTTATGAAGTATGTATTCAAAGCAGTTTATCTTGACATCTTGATGCCATATTTTGGCTGTATGCATGGTTTGAATTGAATGATGCAAAGGTATTTAAAGTATTTGGCCCTTGTATATTTTGAATACATATTTAAGGTTGATTGTATCAATACTGAATGTTAATTCACAGTTATGCAAAAGAAAAAACTATTTAACTGTAAAGTATTTTCTAGTATTTACCTGAGACAAATCAGGTACTTTTATATTTTTACACTAAAGAGGCAGATTATTGTGACTAAGTAACAAATACATATATCTATACTTATACCCTGAGCGCTGCAGTTAAACAAAAACTTGTGGACCAAGTTTGCAAAAGACGTGGAAAGAACAATCAGGTGTTTTTGTTGTTTGATTTTAATCTTATTTTATTATTTTCAACAGCTCATTCTAAAAAAGAACATGATCATTTTTATTTACATATACTGATAGCTATCGATCATGCTAATTCCTGTGATATTAAAGCAGTGATATTCAATGCAAGTAGAATCGTGTTAAACCAGAGAAAGCACTAAACCGAATAGAACCACTGTCTTAAAGGGGAATTCCATCGATTTTAATCTTTGCCTAATTCAGTTGGTAAGATGTTAGTGGCCATTCAGAATGGTTTGATGTGAAATGAATGATTGTGGAGAAACTTACTGATTCAGATTTCTTTAAAGTGGTGTTGATGGGAACCAGGATTCATAAATATAGCCATTTATACTATACATAGTATAGTGATACATCTGAAAAAATTTGTATTTTGCCTTACAGTGTTCTGCATGTGCAGCTTAAAAATGTTTTAGACCAAAACCTTATTTTAAACTTCACTCATAAAACAATGTTTCAGACATCAGTCGAGTATTTGTAACCATTTCATGTAGTGATTTTCTGCGAGGGAACTTTTAGAGGCTTTACAGGCTTCAGACATCTGGTTCCTGTCATCACGATTGTGAATAATTAGGAATTGGTAAGTTTCTCTAGAACGGCCTTTCACATCAAACCACTCTAAATGATATTGTTTACATCTTAACCATTTAATTATTCAGCAATTGGATGGAATTCTCATTTAAAGCTGCAAACTTAAAGGACAAAGAATTTAAAAAGATTTTGACATTATTTGATATGGGGCCATGTCCTTAAAGAAACAGTCAGTTTTTCCTCAAAAATGTATTTTGTAAAAATATATATATTTTTGTTTGTTTAGTTTTAAATACTTCTAAAATAAGGTACATATTCATTGTTTTTTTTGGGGTTTTTTTTGCATATTATTATTTACCTAGCTACTGTTCTGACCATACTAGTTTCTGTTACCTGTGTTGCTACATTTGGGAGGAAATAAGATATTTAGAGCAATGTTTAGAAATGTAACTACCCACATCTTTCAAATGAGAGTGGAGCAGCAAAATAGTCCCAGGTGAGTTATAAGACTACATGCGTTCTGTTCTGTAGTAAATTTCGCCATAATATGGAAATAATAGCACACGTGTCGGAGAATACAGTGTTGCTACATTAGCAGTTTGTCAGACTTTCTATAACTGATTTTGCTGCCTCTCATTCTATGTTCCCTCAAAGTCTATGGGTGGTATTGCATCTTAGTTCAAAAACCTGCTTTCAAAAAAAGAAGAGCTAAATTCAAAGGAATTTTTTTGAGTAAAAATACCAGGCTGTTTCGTAATCAATCTGGCATAAGGAGGAAGGATTTAGGATCGTTTCTTGCCTTTTATTCATTTGGTGGTCAGAAAGCTGATCCTGCATCAGTTCTCAAAAGGGACTTGATTTGGACCCAGAAAAGAAAACTGTTCATACTAACTGTTAGTGGAAGAGGCTATAAGAAAAGGATTGCGGAAGCTTTTTGAAAACAAGGCCTGATTTGAATGTTAAAGACCCTTTGCATTCATCGTTTATAGTTTTAGTATAACTGACTTGTTATGCTGTTAACTTTAACACAACTTTTTTTGTTTTGTTTTTTTTGTTTTTTGTTTTAATCGAGATCTTAATGCTGCTGTTCTAACTAGCTTTCTTACTCTGTTCTTAACTTTGGAGAATAGGGGTACATGTATCTTTGCAGATTTGTATATTTTGAAGTATAAGATTACTTTTTGTATTAAAACTGTGTTAGTTTATTTTTTTATTAACAAATGTAACAGAGAATAAAGAAAATATTAAAAAAAAGTTTTGTTGGTAATTCAGTCGTGTTTAAAAGCCTGCTGAAAAAACTCATCCACACCAGTAAGTGTTCCTGTTGGTTCCTGAGGGTTTTGTAATGTGTTGTAATGGGTTGATATCACAGTGTAAAGGGTCATAATGGTTTAATGGGTAAACACTGATTCTAAATGGTATCTACAGGTGTTCTACAGGAAACTAGTGGTCTCTATTGGAAGCCATTAAGCCAGTTCTCAGTGGTTTCTAATGGTCCTTTATCAGCAGTGAACACTTGTGCAGAGATGTGGGCCTATGAAAATAGCTGGTTCTCCTTTTTTTTCTATTTTCATTTCAACCCTACTAAAGCTCTTCAGAAAATGTTGGTGGGGGAAAATATAACGCAGCAGCTTTTTGACTGATGTTCACTTCATGCTGCAAAGGTCAAGTTTCTCCATGAGGTAAAATGAACAATAATAGCTGAGGATCGTCTTTTCACCGCTAGGGGGCGATAGAGGACTGTTTCTGGAACTAGCGATCTTATTAGCTGTTTAGAAAACTGACCTGTGTTGGGACACGGGCCTATAACCTCATACAGCAGCTCTAAAATGCCAAGGTTAGTACTTTCCACTCTGCTTCTGTCTGAGATCTTCATGAATTTTTTTTTGTTGTTCTTTGTTGTTCTTTTGTTCTTTGTGGGGTTGTGAAAGGCACTATATAAATGTAGCTTATTATTGTTGTTATTATTATTAAGTGTTTCACTGAGTTCATATTGTATCTGCTCCAGTCAGTGCCCTTCACTGCAGCAAAGAGGCAGTTTAACTGATGATAACGACAGTAAGCTAATGGCGCTTACTTTGTGCCTTTCAAGATGGTGGTTTGAGGTTAACTTTAGTGTCTGTCTTAATAGTAATTTGTTTCTCTTTACACACGAGAGCTTATTAAGATCCCATGAGTAAAGATAGCATTTTAGCGTGACTTGCTTCTCCACCATTCGCTGTTGCCATTTCTGTCTTTTTAATGTGCTTCGAGTTTGACAGCTCAGTCTGAAAATACAGTCTGAGAAGCAGCCATGTCGTGCGGATTGACTGGGTAATTGGGAAAGGCTGTCATATATGGGTGGGCATATCGACACTGAAGTATGGATACTTCCGATACTGACGCTTCCTTTGGAGAATCGATGCATAAAAATAACAGCACCAGATGTTTTCCTTAACCAGTCTAATTATTTGACCACTGTAATTTCTTCAAATGCCCAATATATTTAAGGGCACAATTTTACAACAGTGTATGAAATGCTAATAAAAACAGAAACGGTTATTAGTAAATTCTCTTTTTCCTGTATTACATTGAAAATAAACGAAAACACAATATTTTATGTTTTACCCTACGAACTTTGTTTTTTGTAAAAATGTTAATTCCAAATTTGATGCCTGCAATGTTCCAAAGAAGCACGGACAGGAGCGTGTTTACCACTGTGTTGCGTCCCCTTTCCATTTAGCAACAATCAATAATTGAGGACTGAACATACAAACTGATCTAATTTTGAAAGTTGAGTGGAGAGTTGATTGTTGAGAGTTGATTTTTGCCATTTTTCTGGTGTACAAATCTTAAGCTGCGCAGCCATATTGTTCTTTTTCTACACATTTTTGAAGGGACACAAGTCTGAACTACAGGCAGGCCAGTCTAGCACCCACACTCTGAATATGCTGCCAGACTGCTGTAACAGAATGTGGCTTGGCATTGTCATTGGGGTTACCCACTAATACCCCATACTATGACAATCTGGCCACACCCAGTACTTCCATAAACAGTCTAAGAGGTCAGACCACATTACATGTTTCCACTGTAATTCAGTCCGTTTCAGATGAGCTCGAGCCCAGAGAAGTTGGCAGTGTTTCTGGGTGTTCTTGACCTATGACTTACACATAATACAGTTTTAACTTGCATTTGTGGATGCAGCGACAGATGGTGTCTGATAACAGTTTGTTGAAGTATTCCTGAGTCCATATGGCGATGTCCATCATAGAAATATGCTGATTTTTGTGAAGCCTGGAGTTGAAGGTCACTGGCATTCAGAATGTGTTTTTGAAGTTATAGTATAATAATAATAATATAATATAAATTATTAAAGTCCTTGCAATTGCTCACGGAGGAATGTTATTATTAAATTTCTGGATTATTTGCTCGACCTGTCCCTGCTCATAAAGGACTAGGCCTTTCCTTGATGTTCCTTTAATAGCCAAGCATGACTGGGGAAAAAAAGGAAATAGACAAAAGAAGGACAAAGGACAATTGCGAATCAAACAAAGAAGCTGCTGGTTTTCTCAAAACAATGGACTGTCCATCCCAGAGCCTAGTCCTCAACATCTTTGAATGTGGTCAGGATTACTTGGATCGCAAAAAGCAGAAAATGCAACCAATGTCTAAGACTGAACTGTGGAGGTGTGGATAAAATATCTGCAGATTCCTTTGAGAAACTGAAAACAAGTCTTCTGAAAAGAATACAAGTAGAAAAAAGTAGAATGCAAACTAATCAGCCAAAACACCCAATATAACTGTCTGCATTTTTGTTTTTGTACAGCTTACTGGAGCATGCACTGTGAGCATTTAAATATATGAAAGCTTGCAGATAACATACGTCATGCACTGCAGACACACTCAGAGCGGATGCAGGGAGGTGTCATGCATGATTTTACAGGGAACTGAAAAGAAACAGGCCCCTTATTTCACTTCCCTTTAGCACAGGGTGCCACATCTGTTCTACAAGCTCTTGAGAACTCATAAATGATGACTGTCAAATCGTATCAAAGTAGAATTTCACAGCACCACTCTCCTTCATGAATTCAGCATTTGGAGAGACCAGTTTCTTCAATGAAGAAGTGTTTTGTTTCTGAGAAAACGAAGAACGTATAAGGTACGAACTTCAGCTTCATATCCACAAGAAACACTTAAAAGGGTGGAAATTGGTGAGTTTTTGTTTTTTGTTTGAAATTACAAGAGTTCATTTATCATAGAAAATAACAAAGTGGCAGTATTGTCCACTGTTGAGGCTTATTTGTTTGTTCTTTTTGTTGTTGCTGCCTAAGGATCGGCCTATTGTTGAGGCCTATTGCGACTGAAAAGTAAATGGACCAAATGTCTGCCAACTTTGCATAAATTTCTGTTTTAATTTAGAATAGAGTTGTAACTGATGTTAAGATTTTTAACAATATGTTTTTTAACTTATTTATTATTATTTTCAAGAATATCTTTGAAATTCAAAGTAGGCATATTGTTTTCCTTACAAAAAATGAGTTTTTTAAAATAAAAAAACAAGATTTTGAAGAACACAGGATTTTACATGTTATACAGAATTATAAGAGCACCTTTTTCTCTACTCTTAACCTCTTAGTCTTACCATGAAGTGAAAAAGTTGTATGCGGAACAGCATCCGTTAATTTTCACCAAGAAGAACAAGCGCACTCATTTAGCTGACATCACTACTGAGTCTATGGTCATGAAACACTGGCTTTATTAAATATTTATAATAAAAAGAATTCATTCATGGAATTTTCATCTGCTTGTATTGATCATACTAAAGACTTTCTATATTTAACATGCCAGATGTAGATTCTATTTAAGTTGTTTTAAAACTGTTCAGATACACAGAGGTCACCAGTAAGCACCCAGAATCAAATCGCATCTAAATTTGAGCAGAGATGATTGAAGCCACTTCCACAACTGACCAGTTACAAATTATTAGTGCAGAAAATTTTACTAGATTCAACAATTAAAGACAATTATATTGTATCAATTTATCAAAGTTTATGCAAAATTAAATGATAAGGAGTAAATTAAGCCATACAGAGTGGTTTGAGGTGAAATGGTCCATTCAAGAGAAATTACCAAGGCAGAATTGTTCACAGTGGTGGTGATGGGAACCAGATATTTGAAAAGTTTAATGTCTCTAAAAGCTCTCTCACAGAAAGCTATAACACAAAATGGTTACAAATACACAGCCTTTAAATCCATTAATGGGGAGAGATACAAGGCAAATTAATCCCCAAAGAAAAGGTATTTTCAGAGTGTTTTACCATCATCAACATTACATATAAAAAATCAGAAAACAAGAATGGGTTCACTGGACTGTAAATAAAATGGTTATATTTACATTGTAGACATCGTGACCCCTGGTTCCAGTCACCACCACTGTAAAGAATTCCAATTCGGCAAGTTCCTCTACAATGAACGTCACATCAAATGACTGAATTGCTTGGTTTAAAAATGTAAAACAATCAATTATCTGGAAATTTGACAATTTTGTGTTTCCGCTTCCTCACTATTCCAGCATTTTTAAGTGAATCTGTATCTGACACACCTGAGCGTATGCTCGATTTCCACAGACAATAATTTTGATACAATTCCCTCTAACTTAATAAAAAGAAAAGAAAATCTGTTGACTTAAAACACTCATAATCAAAGTCAATGGACAGATTAGTTTGAAAAATGCTACATTCCTTTCTTGTATGTTTTAAGCTCTGATAGTACTCATGACAAACTAAGAAATTTGTTTGAAATGACATTTTCTTCTTGGCCTGCCAAGATGGTGCAGAGTATCCATGTCCTCAAAATAATTGAGTACACTTATGAAAATAATTACGACTAGCCTTCATGTTTTGGCAGCATTGCTGTGCTGATTTTCACCTAGGCTGCTTTTGGAACTGTGCTTTATCTTTCTAGATTTGCCATAATGTCAAACCATACTCATTAACTTATGTTTTTTATTTTATTTAGGAGAGAAAGAGCAAAAATAAGCTGTTGTGGACTTCCTGTATGAAGACAAGGGAAACTACGAAAGACCTACACTGCAATATCACAGGACTTCTTTATTAAAGGACTCTGGTGTCCATGTGAAAGCCCTCAACATTTTCAAAATGTTCTCAGTTCCTTAGCCCTTAGTCTACACACCCACGTCTTCTAAACTCGACTACATTATGGAGTGCTTTGAAATCCATGCACAAGGAAAGAAAGTCTTTTAATTACCACAAGAATTACCTATCACAAATTAACATACTATTGGTATTGTGTGGAATAATTCCCACACCCACAGTGATGACTTATGCACCTGTCTGGCTCCTTTAAGGATACAAAAATCTGGACTACAAGCAGAACCTTTTGAGAAGCAGAACCCCCCATTAGCAACAGAATTATGAACGGCCTGGCTGAGACATCGGTTAAGTGCGTACTGGTCGGTGACTGCGCAGTGGGAAAAACGGCACTCCTGGTGCGGTTCACTTCTGAAACATTCCCCGACAGTTACAGGCCCACAGTATATGAGAGCACGGGAGTGGATGTCTTCATGGATGGCATCCAGATCAGCCTGGGCTTGTGGGACACGGCCGGGAACGACACCTTCCGGCAGATCCGCCCCATGTCCTACCAGCAGGCGGATGTGGTTCTCCTGTGCTACTCCGTAGCAAACCCCTCCACGTTGGCCAGTGTCCGGCACAAATGGATCGCTGAGGTCAGGGAATACCTGCCCCGCGTACCCGTGCTGGTGGTGGCCACTCAAACAGACCATCGTGAGATGGGGCCGTATCGGGCCAACTGCACTAGCGCTTCCGAAGGCAAACGGGTGGCCCAGGAGATTCGTGCCAAAGGGTACTTGGAATGCTCAGCACTCAGCAACAGAGGGGTGCAGCAGGTGTTCGAGTGTGCGGTGCGCACTGCTGTCAACCAGGCCCGCAAGAGAACCCGCCGGAGACTCTTTGATCTCAACCCATGCCAAATCTCGTAAGGGCAAGGCTACCCAGCTAGGATGTACATCAAGTTGGACCTGCTCAAACCAAGCTTCAATCCTTGAGCCAAAGCCTCAGTCAAGACGTTTCCTTGACACATAAACAATATTATTTATTTTATGTGATTCAACCGTAGTATTTTCTTAACCTGTATTGGGATGAGTCCATGGCCCAACAGGCAAATTCACTGGAGACTTTCTGATTTAAACCGTGCTGAATCTACCCAATTTACCTACTTCACATCGGACTTATTCAGATACCCTCTAACCAATAAGCCTCAATCTTTGAGCCTCAGTCAAGACGTTTCATTGATACATTAACAATATTTATTTTGTGTGATTTCTTAACGGAAGTCTGCTCCGCTACTGACGTGACGGACTTCACAGAAAACGGGCCGCTGGCGGGCAGTTAACCAGGCCCACAAACGAAACTGCTGGAGACTTTTTGATCTCAATTTGTGATCTGTTAAAGGGGAATTCCACAGTTTTCCCAGTGCAAATATCTGCATAATGATGGTTTGGTGTGAAATGCTTAATTCTAGAGAAACTTACAGTCGCCTTGCTGAAAGCTAACACATGAAATGGTTTTAAATACGCTGCCTAGACTGTTGTGGCCTAAAACTTATTTATTTAAATACAGTCATGGTGGAGAGAGGGCAAAATATTACAACAAAATAGCCCCCAAAGACAGTGTTTTTTTAGATTTATCACTATTCTACCATCATTAGTATTACATATAAAAACTCAGAAGGCACATGTAGATTCACTAGTCATTATGGATGACAAATAAAATGGCCATATTTACATTATAGACATCATGACCCCTGGTTCTTATCACCACCACTGTAAAGACATGAGTTCATAAGTTTCTCAACAATGATCCATTTCACAGCAAACCACTTTGAATGACTTTGTGTACATCTCAACAATTGAATTATACAGTAATTTTGAGAAATCAGGAGGAAATTTCCTTATTTCCTTTTAAGGGCAAGGGCCATCCAACACAAATCTCCTCAGAAAATCCACTCAAGTTTCAAATATTGATCCAAAGCTTCAGTCAAGGCATTGTATGATACATGAACAATAATATTTAGATTTAACAACGGTAGATTGGTTAGCTAGAGTCAGATGGCGGACTCCACAAAATGTTTTAAACCTTACTGAGACTTTTGCCAGACACTTGTGCAGGCACTATTACTGTGTAGTCTATCTAGACAGAAAATACAGTGAGTGTACTGATAAATATAGTGCAGTCCAAAAGATAAGAGACCACATTAAAAATCTGGGATTCCTTTCATTTTAACCTTGGAAAAAAACAACAGAATTTTTTAGAATTTTGGAAAAAATGAAAACAAAGACAAGTTATGACAAAACGAAAAAGAAGCATTTAAGATTCTGCACTGTTTCAAGGCCACTACTCAAATTTCAGTAAATTTGTGATAAAGAGCATGTTGAGGCCTTTGTTGAAAAAGATCTTTTTTGTCTTATTTCTTCCAATGATGACTCTCAGCTAGATTTGATCTACTCATCAAAGTCTTTTGCACAAACTTGTGTAGTTCATTCCACACTGAGTGCATGCTGCCATTAAGGTAAAAGAAGGGCATTTCAAATACTAAGAAATTCTGAAATTCATGTTAAAATTTTAAAGATTCTACTTTTATTTTAAATTATGCTGTAATGAAAATCTTTCTATTAAAATAGCATTTTCATAAGTTGTCTCAGACTTTTGGACTGCACTGTACATGTAGGCTCGATGAAATCATTCACCTTGAGGAATGAATGCAGCATTAGTGCATCTTGAGCCTGTCAGTGTTCGTAGAAGACGAGGATGGATATATGTACATGTTAAGCTGTGTGACGATGTACAACTTATATATATTTAGAACACATACATTCACAGCTTTTACAGGTCTGTCTAGAGTTTTCTCTTTGGTCTGCTGTAAATTGTATGTGTTCTCAATATTTGCGCTTTTTCATCAGCCTTCATAAAAGGTAATCGTCAGTCACCTGAGAAAGGTAAAAAGTCATGTATTCTGTGTAAATAAATGTCTCATTTTCTGTACTTACACTAGCAATACTAAAGTGAGTGATTTGGAGGTATGGATATACTATGATGACACAGTTTTAATTAGGTTATAAGTGCCAAAATATCAGCACACAGACAACATATGTGCTGTAAGTACTTCATTTGGCATTTTTATTTTAGCATTTTCATGCACTGTAAAAAAAAAAAAATCAAATGATCATTCATTTGAAAGTTGTTAAAAATAAATGTGTGACAAATAAATTCAGATGGAATAACTGAATTTCATATACAAATTTGTCTTTTTCTTTTTAGCTATTGCTATAGTGCCACAGTAAATTGTGCTTAGTTAAAGAAACAAAGTTATGTTGTGGTAGCCTAAGAGAAATGTGCTTCTACATCTTCATTTTACAAAGATGTCATTTGTAGTATCTAAGCACATTGTAATATTACTCAAATGCTGATATACCAATATTCTGTATTTTTCTGCACTGCATTGTAGCTTATAGGACAAGAGCGAAAATCTGTCTTGTGCTCATACTGTTGACTAACATACAATACTGTACAAAGGTTCTAGGCACTTAGGAAGATTGTTTAAATGTACTTATCTAGATAGTAACTGTGTTTTTCCAGTATAAGCACTATATAATGTTAGAATAAATACAAATAAACATAAATACAGTAAAATGTAAAAAGAGTTTTAGAAGGTTATGAATGTCTTGTCTAAATTGATACAGTTTGATGAGCACAGATGTGGTTCATGACTTTTTGCTGCACTCTTGCTGTGCTCCAGTCGTTATGCATAATGCATTTTCAGTACCTTTAGTTAGAGAACATAATTGTAACATATTTTAACTCCAGGTTTTTTCTTTTATTTTTCTATTTAAAAACAGTTAGGTTATGAAAAGGTAAACATTAATTAATGTTTCATAGATTTAAAACTTATTTAAAGTAAATTTAATTAGTTTTGTACCTGTTATGAGTATGGTTACATTGTTTGTCCCATGAGAGACTACAATGTACCTGTACAGTACCTTTTTTTTGACATTGTAACATTAGCGTTTTATTTTTTATGGCCCACATAAATATCTTTACATAGAGTCATATGCAAAAGTTAGAGTGGCCCAGTGAAATTACGCTTGTTGATTTTCTAAGTGAAAATATGTTAAAACAACCTCTACAGAAAACACAGTTCTGCCCATTTTTAATGCACAATTACTGTTTATTTACTAAATTTAACATATTGGGAAAAAAACCTAAAACATTAAATGTGGCCTATGCAAAAGTTAAAGCATATTTTCAGTTAACTGTTTTATTTGTTTCCATAGGTTAAACTAAAATTTGTGCTCTAAAATGCCACATCTGAGTGTGTTCTCTGTAGAGGATGTGTTAACCGATGTTCACTTTGAAAATCAACAAAACACGTAATGGTCAGGGGTATTATCTTGCATATGATTATACTAATTTCTCAGAAGACTTTTGTGCAGTTTGGTATTTATTGTCATTTTTAAAAAGCACAATATGTATGACAATACATGTGTTACACGTGGGAAAGTTAGATGGTGTGAGTTGGTGAGAGTTTTTAAAAACATGATCAGAGTATTGTGTTGTAGCTTGACTTCTTTTTACTTCACTAACTGTCACACTGATTTTCAGAGATTTCCCAAAATGGCTGATACTTAACCATATATTATGTGTACCTACAGACCCCGTAGCGGAGAACATCAAGGCACACCAATCAGAAAGGTCTGATGTGTGTATGTGCATGCTTCAAGTCTCTTGAGTAAATTGTATGTATTCACTTGTCAGAAAGCTATATTTTTATTTATGAACTCATTCAACTGGAATTTTGCCACAAAAACCTAACATATATTAGCATATAGTACTGTGCAGAAGTGAGAGACCACCCTTCATTTCTTTCATTTCAGGTCAAATCAATTTAAGATCTTTCTGAGATTAGAGATGAGAAAATCTACCTGCATTTTCCACTTGCATAAGGAAGGAGAAAGTCAAAAGAAAATATTTTGAAAACTGGACATCAAAATATTATTAAAAGAAACAGAGATAATGAGACTCTAACGCTTGGTAGACCACCAAAACTGTCACCATCAGATAAAAAGTACTTAAAGCTTTCATCTTAGAGAAATAGTCAAGCTCCACTTTTGCCTCAGATCTGAAAAATACACAGATTTTTCTCTCCATCCTTCCACTGTGAGGAGACATTTAAAAACTATGGTCTGAAAGGATGTCTAGCTGACAACAGGAACATTTGTAAAATAAACAAAGAAGCTACTGGTGTTCTCAAAACAATAGAGTGTTCTTCCCAGAACCTTGACCTCAACATCACTAAGTGATTATTTGGATTGTGAGAAACAGAAAATGCAACCAACTTCTATGACTGAACTTTGAATGTGTGGAAAATATCCTTGCATTTTGATTTCAAGGAATTAGGAACTTTCTTCTAACTGTATTCTTTTATCCAAGACATCGCTAACTATTATAAAACAAAGACTCTAGTTATGTTTTACTGTATTTACATTTATTTGTTTTATTCCAATTTTACATAGTTATACTAGGTAAAATGTTATACTGTCTCAATGAGATATTGTATGCAGTGTCAGATTCACTGTCTTTAAGAAAATGAAGTTGTGCTACATGTGAGCTTAATTTTACATATGATGTGGTTTAGGGAGATGGCAGCTTAAAGTAGGCCTGTGCTTTTGGGGAGCTGTATAGGGTCCTAACCCCAAAACCACTTCCCAGCAGGAGCTCACAGCTCATGCAACCCTCTGAACCCAAAACAAGCTACACAGAATATGATTTGATCCTCTGTGTTTCACAGTAATAATAGTACACAGAAACGCCACTGTCAAGTCACTTGCTGTGCTTCACATAACTTCACTCCACCTTCCTTTGATTCTATGTTTAAAATCAGCATTAGATCTGAAGACAACAACATGACAAAATTGTATTATTATCTTCAGGGTATTTGTTAGGTTAGATAAGTTAGATAAAATTTACCTCTGTGTTTTCAAGAGAATTCTATCTTCATATTTTTAAAGGTTTTGCATAATTCAAAGCTTGAGAATCATTAAATCATTCAGAGTGGTTTGGTGTAAAACACATCATTCTAGAGAAACTGAGTCAGAATTGTAGTGATAGGATCTAGATTTCTGAAGAGTTTCAAAGCTACCTCACCAAAAGCTATTACATGAAATGGTCATAAATATGTTGTCTGATGGCCGAGACATTGTTTTACAATAGTTTTAAGATTGTAAAAAAACATTTAAAAAATCCATTCATGGCAAAATGTTACATACAGGGTGTTGGAAGGCAAAACAGTCCCCAAAGAAAACGTATTTTTCT